AGTATAAATCATTCACTGTGGTTTAGGTACCAATCCATTATTTATCACAGTGAAAAAAAGATACTGGAGACAAAATGGTGCTGCAGTAAAACTTTCATGCAGTTAATGGGGTAAGTTATGATTATTGCACAAGACTTCATTTCTTATAACTGTCACAAGCATTAAGTTCTAAGCAGGGTTTTTGAGTCAACATGTTATTCTTGCTTGGTCCTTTTAATGTTACTTGAATCTTGCCCTGTTTCTCATAAACTTTCCATCATGTAAACTCATTGATAGCTAAAAAAAGTCATACATTAGAAAAATCAAAGATTTCTCACAGTATAGCCCTACTTCAGTGAGTAAATTTCATTTGACAAATGACTGAAAAATATTATGGGATACATTAATAAACATGTATGAAGTCCTAGCTAACGAAAACATGGGTAATGTTTTATTCAAACAAGTGTGTTTTCACTAAAAATAATTTCTTCACCATTTGTGTATCACTTCACACTGTATCTGTATATTTATATAAGAGAAAAAAGAGAAAATGTGATTTCAGATTGGAATAATCACACTTTACACTCATGTGGCATATATTATGCCCTACTTATAAGGTTCATAGCAATGAAAATCAGACTGTCACACTCAGTTCTGAGGAGTAGCCTCCAGATTTCACTTTGCTAAATTATGTTTATAGAGCTGAATTCTTCCATTGGCAAAATGCTCTCCACCTCTAGTGATGTTAAACACAGTAGTGCACGTGCACTGAGAAGCAAAATTTGTCTCTAAATAATATGCCTGAAAGACATTCCATCTTATATTCTATAACTCTATCAGTTTTATAAGCTTCTGAATGCATCTTTTCACTCTGTTAAAACGAACAGATATTTTAACAAAAAATTTTCTTTGAGTGTTAAAAGCAGCAGTTCTTCAACTGTGCCTTGAAAATCAGGTGCTGCAGGGGAGGAGGAGAGAGTAAGCTTGGGCATCACAGCATCCCCATTAGCAAGTAAGCCTTGGATGAAAGAGCCTTTAGGGATGCCACTGCCCTAAAAAGCCCACAGGTAACCTGGGAAAGCCCATTTATAGTATGTACTGGTTTTCATCTCAGTCTATGTCCTGGAGACATGTGTTGGAGACATTACTAACGGTCAGTGGATTTGTACTTCTCTCCTCTCATGCAGAAATGAATGGGAACAGTATTTCTTGACTTCCCATTTTGCTTCTATCCTTCTTTGTAAAAACACCTGTGAATGTGAGCTGCAGCCATCATTCTCCATCAACTAGAAGTGATTTCCTGAGTGAACGTGCCCAGAGAACAGCACTTGTGTCTCTAGTGGTCCCAACAATCCAGAGGCCTCAAAGCACAAATGATGTCAACTGAAGTTAGGAGCTGACCAAGAAAATCTCAGTGTCACATGGGAGGTGGCTGCTATGCCAGCGGTCCTTGCAAGACAGAAAGCAACACCTCCGGTTGCTCCCCCCTCCAGTCCTTTTGCTTTCAGTGGCAATAAGAGAGACTGTCACCTGCTCGGTACAGCGAACACGCAAGAAATAAATGCCTCTTTCTTCCCAGTTACGCAGTTCTCACTCGTTTCTTGCTAAACCATTTCACAGTACTTACATCAAATCTTTCAGCAGCTGCTACTCCTGACCTTATTCCTCCCCTCTCTTTGTCTGGTCTGGCAGGGCTACGCTTCCCCAGCAGTGTTAGTGCTGCCACAGCTCTGCCTCTTCTCTCTACCCTGGCTAATGCCAAACCCAGACAAAGGACATGAGAAAACACACAATTAGCAGCTGCAAATAAGCAGCTGACTCATTCTCCCCATGGGGAACAGGAGCAGGTCCTGCTGCTGTCTCATGTGCCGTCTCAGTGCATTTTCTACAATAAGTAGCAAAAATGGTCTGTTCTTCCCAAGGTACAGAGTTTTTAGAGAAAGGATTACTCCGAGAGGTATTGCTTGCAGGGCAATTAATGACCATTGTACATAAGGGCACGCAACACTTGCCAAGCATGACTTCATAGTTGTTTACACTTACACTAAAAATAGATCATCTATGTGGGAAATATCTTTCCAGAGAAAATATAAGGAAGAAGTTCCCTAAAGATGCCCTCGTGGCTCCAAGGAAATGATGTTTTGGATGAGTTAGATGTTGAGCGGAGATGTTCAATTCTCAAAGAAAATCCACTTGCTATTGTCAAGCCTTTGAGAAAAGTTCTGGTTTGTAGATGCTCAGAAGAGAGTTGCTAAGGATTTTGCCTTGGTGCAAAGGAAAGGAAATTTTGGAAAAAAGTGTTCTGAATGCTTGCTGGTTGGTTGACAGACAAATTCTTAATATACACCAATATTTCTCAGGAGGTGCATTAGGATATTAGGAAGGGGGAAATGCCAGTTGCAGAGATGTTGCTGAGGTAATTTGTTAGTGATGGAGTAATTTTTTTTCTCTCCTGGCAGCGTATTGACTCAAATGGCAATGTTAATAACCCAGACAATAAGAGAAAAAAGCAAGCAAGCCTTGGCAGGGGTATGTGTACTTATTGAATCTGTGAGGGCACATTGCCTTTGCTTCTAAAGTTGTAAGAAGGAAGCAGCTTTCGTAAGTCACAGAAAATCCTAGCAAATTCCTAGAAGGGACCATTCTCAGAGACATTCCAGGATATGCCACAAAGAAGTGTTCACAGCAGTAGGAAAACTCTGAAGCTCTGATGGAGAATGCTGCAAAAAAAGTATCAGACAGCAGCCCCGAACCAGTTGAAAAGTTCACAGAAAGAAAAAAAAAAGAAAGGGAAGATATGAAAAAGGAAAAGTGAAAAAGTAGGTGAACATAATCATGGAAAAAATTCAATGAACCACAGTGCTGCAGCAGTTTCACTGAAACAGAAAAACCTAGTACAGTCAGAAAAGTTAAAAAATATTCAGTGAGAAAACATTATTACCCAGTGAAAGAAGCAGCTTCAAAAGAATCAGTGGAAGTATTTCAGGAAAGAGTAGGAGATGATGAACCTACACCGTGATAAACAAATAATATCTTTAAAAAACCCATATGAAATATTATGGAAAAGAAAGCACCATATAATCTTTTGGCTAACAGGACTGAAAAAAAAGGAAGTAGAGTGGCATGAGTAAGCAAAGTGAATGCCAGGATACTGATGAAGACGTTCAGAGAAGAATGATGTCTAACTGGAAGACATCAGAATTGGATAAAATCCACAAGCATTCATTAAACATCCTTGGCAACTCATATCTTAGCTCAAAACACAGGAAATGCAGCAAAAGGCTGAAGGGATAGAGCACTCATAAAAAAAAAAAAAAAGAAAAAACAAAGGGAAACAGGTGGCATTATCCTAAAAAACCTGTGACTCACTGATTATGTGACAGCTCCTTACAGAAACATTCAGTGAAAATCAGAATATTTTGATGATGAGGAGTATTTGCAGATACCAGAAAAAAACAAGTCTAGATGTGGTTTCGATAGATTTTGATAAACTTCTGCAAATATGTCATGAAATGGGAATCCAGAAGCATCTGGGACTGGGGAGGGAAGTGCTTTAGCAGCAGGAGAAGGGAAGGGAGGGGAAAGGAGGGGAGGGGAGACTGTGAAGGATTATTTGCAAAGGTAAGACCCACTGAGAAATATTATTTAGTGACAAAGAGGAAAGTCTGTCTCATACCTATTTATTACAACAACTTGAAATTACATGGTCAGTAGGAGGCAAAAAATAATTTCCCAGTTAAACCTGTAAGGCTTCTTTCTTAAGGAAATAAGAATTTTATTTAGATGGAATGAGTCTGTATGCATTTTACACCAAAGAAATCCTGTTAAAAGTATCACAGGAGATGAAAACAGGTACTGGGATAAAAAATATGCAACAGCACTAAACATAAACATTAGGAATTCTTCAAGAGATTATGGTAAAAACTAAAGGTGGTTTTAAAGAAAGACTGGCTTTTAGAGATGTGTACAATTACTAAAGACATTTCAGCATGCAAAACACGTTAAAGGTAATTAACATACATGCCATCTACTGCAGTAGAAACTGAACCCGAGGGAATTGTACAGCAGGCCAAAGCAGAAACTAGCACTGAATTAAGTAATAAACATGAACATGGATGTGAGAAAAACCTTTTTGTTGATCGCAGGATGATAAAGGAAAAGGGCTGAGAATAGTCAAGGATATTACAGGAAATGAGCATATGTTTGCAGTGAGCTATATCAGAGAGTGAATACTGTCTAACTGGGCCTCAGGCAATGCTCTAGGACTGGTTAGGAAAAATGCTCCTTCTAACTGTCAGCTTTTAGATAGACAAGATGCATAGTCAGGGTGGATTGGGAAGAAGCTACATGGCCTTTGGGTCACTTTTCTCCTGATATATAAAGCACTAGCTTTCCCACTGGCATGTCTGTAATACACTCCTTTAGAGCTTTGTACATAGCAAATGTTTCTAAGGAGGCATTGCTTCTGGTAGTTATTTGAATGCATCTTGAGTCAAGACTAATTTCTTTTTTTTTAGCAATGTCGACAACATTGCCAACACATACTTATCTGACACACACATTGCTGTGTTTCTCCAGCTTTTGGATCATCTGTCCCAGTGTGATGTGCCAAGGACTCAAACCTCCATCTTCTCACCTGCTGTGACCTTGTGAAATTCTGACTGCCAGAGAAACCACAACTCATGGCATGAGAAACCAGATTATCTCTACTACTACTATATCTTTATGATCTATTTTATGCCCTGCTGTATCTCCAGATCAGAAGAATATATCCCATCATTCTACCTGCTATCTTTCCCCTTCCCTAGCTCCCCTCCAGCTGTTGCCTCTTAGGGTGCAAAGCCCGCTTTGAAAGTAAGGGTGCATTCACTTTGCTTCGCAATGCAGCAGAGAAACAGCAGAGTCAATGGAGCTTCCCAGCATGGCTAGACTGTAGCAATCTAAGCAGCAAGGTAAATTCAGCCTGGTTAGAGCTACCTTGAGACTTCAGCACTGCTGGACCTCTTTTTTTTCCCTGCTTGTCACCTAAAATTTACTTTCTCAAACTGCTTAATCTCAAAGATGACCAAGCAGTACCTAGTGGACCAACAACAAGCAATATGTTCAGGACTGTGAATGAGATGGTATTTTTGTACGGAATATAGACTGCAGACCCTGTAACATTGTATTGTCCATTAAGCACAGCATTCACAAATAATATTGAGAAAGAAGAATAGCTAAAACATTATGCAGACTTTATCCTTTGTGTCAGGTTCACAAGTAATCTAAGCGACCCTGATATTTACACCAGCTGATGATCTGTTCTGTTAGGTACAAAATGCTCCAAAACTCTCGCACTGGACCATTGATAACTCAAACGCAAGAGAAATTAAATAGGTGTTGTCCTTATAAAACTGAGTCAGGCTTTGTGCCAGTTGACTCGCAAGCAATGTTTGAAAGATTAAAATAACACATAATTGCACCAGCTCTCTAAATCTGACCAGGGCTCAGAGGATAAATGCCTTACCTCATTATGTTTAAATGCTCTATCTCAATCTGGTTTAAAACAGAGCAGAGGTTGTGAGATGTCAATCTGCTGTACTGTTAAGAGGACAGAAATACTGCTACAGATTGGGATGTGGGCTCCAGCAAAGAGCCATGCTTAGTATTTGGCTTTCCTTTACTGTCCCCTGCTCCTCAGCTCACTTGCTTCCAAGGATGATCACTTCACCCAGTATGACTGTGTGTCAGCTCCAGTTGAAATGATCCCTTTTCTCAAGAGGCAGCATTTCTGTGCCTGAAGTGCAATGTTATTTATACATAACAGACCACATTCCTGCTGCCTAGCTCATGCTGGTAGCTCCCACTGTCACCACTGAAGAGTACCAGCCAAAACGACGGCTTGCCTATCTGAACCATCCTCTCAGAAACAAGTCATCCACACCTCATTTGATTTTCAAGTAGGTGGAAGTCCCAGCCTGTGCAAAGGAGAGCCAGAGCTAGCTGGAGTCAAATTGAAGGGTTTTGCTCTAGTAGGAAGAGAGGTTTTAAGAAGACAATTTAAAATGGGACAGAAGCCCTGTGAGAAGGCACAGACAGAAGCCACATCATCCACATCTCTAATGCTTCTAAACTACCACTGCATTTGGGACATGTAACAAAGGAGACCTTTTGAGCATTTGTACAAGCAATATTGGAAAGCATTTCATATAAGAACTAGTCTAAGACACCTGTGCATCAAATTTCCCATCTAATCCACCAACATTGCTCTGCATGCCTTTCCTGACAATTGCTTACCTCTTTTAACTTGTCCAGCTCATTTTGCAGCGTCTGCTTGGATACTTCCACCTCAATGATTTGCTGCCGAAGGACTTCATTTTCATCTTCTGCTTTCACACGCTTCTCCTCCACACTCTCCAGCTCGTGGTGCAGTCTCACAGAAACATCTTTGGCTACCTGATCAGAAGAGCACAAATGCATGAAGATCATCCATGGGGAGCAACAGCTATGGTATGTCTTTTACAGCAAAAGCATATTACAGCCCTAGAAAGCCAAGAGATTTTTAATTCAATTATGACACTGTTGATGAAAGCCTCCGAGTCCTCCAAGTTCCAAAATGAATATTCATTTCTAGTAAAGAAATCCAGAATGAAAATATATTTGATTACCCATCTCCACATTATGCTAAGGCAATGTCATGAACAGTGGGAGGAAACAAGCAGATACCAAACCTGCCCATCAAAGTTCCAGCATATCACATAGATAAAGCAAAAGATAGGAATTGTGCTGTAAAGCTGACAGGTCATCGATCAAAGTAACATCCATGCAACAGTCATCCACCCAAATTTGCTGCTCTAACAGCAATCACAACTGGGCAAGAGTGATATGAAAGCACAGAAATATATGATAGCTTAGGTTTCCTGAGTCCAGCCTAACAGGGATAGATATATACTCCAAAAACATTTGGAAAGGTGATACATCATGCAAAATGATGAATTATGGAATTACAACATATATACAACTATATAAGGTTATAATTTGTTTTTTATCATAAAAGACAAAATTAGGACTGATATTTTAAAAGGTTTGATGACTTGATGTGTTACTTTCATTTCCACTTCTGACAACAAATCATTCCAATTTCTGAAGATTTTATGTTTTGCATTTTTAAGTACAAAATGCTTAATAATTCCAGTAGCAAGCAGTCCCTCTCTACAGAACGTATTTTAAAAACAGCTACAAGATAGCAATATTAAGAAAGATGAAGCTAGACAAACATGATGACTATACAAAGCCTAATTTGGTCTTGAGGGAAACACTTCTGAAAAATATAAAAGCTGTTTCAGGATGAATATAATTTTTACAGGGATTTGTGCTTTTACGGAAAGAGCATTTTGATTCTCTCTCTGTCTCACTAAAATATTATAAGCTTGTTAATGTTACAAGTAACTCAAAAGACACTAAGAAATGCAGCTTTGACTAGTTTTTCTTAAGTTACTTGGTATAAGCAAGAAGTGAAAAGGAAGGAAACAGCATGGATTGGAAAAAGGTATCAGGTTTTGTTTATACAGTATTGCAAAGCTAAGGTTTTCAGTAAAAAAAGATCCTTTAAATTTTTCAAAGGCTTAAAGGTAACTTGACTTTATTTCTTTTATTTTGAATCTAAACACATGTTTTTTTACTCAGTGACACATCTTTTTATGATGATAAGTTTAATATTTGTTCTCCACCACAGCAGAAGGAAATTGGTCCTGACACTTGGAGAACTACTTCTTGTTTCATGTGTCACCCTCACTTCCATTGCAAAGAGCCACATCACAGTCTGCTCTCTTTTGCTGTGTATATGAATCACTCAACCCACCTTTAAATCTTGTTCCAGGCTCCTAATGAGCTCTCCATCCACATGGCCTGTTTGTGCAACTTTCAAGCTTTTCTGTTCTGCTTTCCTGAGACGATATTGCAGAATGCGGCAATTCTTGTTTGCCCGGTCCAGCTCTCGCCGGAGCTCCTGCAGCTGGTAAACATCTTCCTCTAAATAGCTGTCACGCATTTCTTCCATTTCAGCCCGAAGTTCATCCAGCTCATCCTGTGAGAAGTCAAAACAGTGCTCCATCATACCTCTAAATCTCACCCATGGGAGCAAAATAGGAAACATGCTCGCTAGGATACCGTATTAATGGAGTGATACAGATTGCAACATGCAGCTCCAGAAGTCACAGGAACAGAAGTTTTAACCCAACATTGACTAATTACACTGAACTAAATCAATGAATACTTGTCATATCTCTTACAATTGCTTTAATAAGAAAAAGACCTTATCTGTCTCCTGATACAGGTAACACCTGCATTTTACCCTCTCCACTTAAAATTAGAAGTGCGTAATACTTTATCACTATTTGAACTGTTTCCTTGCTTTATTGAGACTACAGTAAACCTACTTAACCAAGTACCTCAGCATCTCGGTGAGATGTGCCTTTTTAACAACCAGCACTTCTCAAAAATGAAATTGTCCCTTGAAAAATTTAATAAATCTTTATACATGTACTGAACTGCTCCATATGAAAATGCTGTCCCACCTGAGCCTAGCACTATGCACAGGCTTCATGACACACAGGTTGTGTGCAGGAGAAACCGGGTTTTTGTTGGGTGCACACACATTTCAATAACAGGACCACGGGGACAAAACAAAATCTGTGCCCATGGGAATAACCTGGTCATTCTTTTCTGGGCATCATGACCTGCCCCAATTCCACATTATACCATGAGTGGCACATGCACGCTAAAGTCAGATTTAAAGATTTGCGGCTGAACAGGATAAGCTCCATCATTCCCATTTGTTTAATCTGTGCGTGACTGAAGCTCCAGAGCTTGAACTGTTATAAAGTCTTCCAAGCACAGGGGTACAAGGTATTTAACTACTGCATGAGAGAAAAAATATGACTCTACAATCTTTGAACAAAGTCAGAGGGAAAAATCAAGAAAAAGAGCCAGGACAAGAATATTTGAAATTAACTACTAATTTTTGTATTTGATGACTTGTATTTATATTGATTTATTTAAAATTGCATTTGCTACAAAGACCAAACTTTCTGTGGAAAAAATAGCTTAAATAAAATTCCAGGAGAACTTGCACTGGGGTTAGCTGCATTGTCACCTCACTTCAGATATGTAAATGACACTTGAAATAACAAGGTTGTCTGGAGAGCATTTCACATTTGAAATACCAAAGGTGGCAAGAGAATATTTCACACCTGTCTCAGGTGGAGAGGGCACTGCCCTGAAGTTAGTACCCTTGAAAAAGCCCCTCCTCCCCCTGGCTGAACCATCCTTGGCCAGTCCCTCCATGAACAAATCTGCTACACTCTCCTGGCAGTTCTCTCAACCATTCCCCCTTACCATGCCCTAACCAGACTGATGTATTAATCTTGCTTCACTGGAGCTTTGGTAACAAATGCAGGGCAGATATTGTCTCTCAGTAGTCCTGACCAAAGAAAGATAGGTAGAACTTCTTTAGCCTTGTTAGCATAGTTATGTTAGAATTACAGCATCATTCTTACCAAAATCCCATGCATGTATAAAAACTCCAGTATTTATACAGCTTTGGTTTAATTTCAGTAGGTTGAGACAGCATAAGCCAAATTTTGGGTACGCACAAGGACTGTTATTTCCAAAATTACGACTCTGGGCTCACCAGTGAGGCTTTGCTCCACCAGTACAGCCCACGTGGGACTCTACACAGTTCTGCCTAGATGCTCTGAAAGGACAGAGAGGTTTTCTCACAGGCCCACTATATCACTGTACATTCTCAATATATTCAGATTTCTGCTGCAGGGGCATCCTGTCCCACAGTCTCCCTGGGACAGGTGCAGGAGCAGAATATTTGTGTGGATGGATAAGCTGAAGTGTTCTGGATCATGCTCCCACCATACACTGTCTGAGAAGGAATAGTGTAAGCACAGTCACCACGGTTACCCTTGCAGCCATGACATCCTCAGAAGTTTCAAATACATTAATTAAGCACAAACAGCAGACAGCAAGGAAGCAAATGAGCTCTGCAGACCCAACCCAGCAGGATTCTTTCAAAGCAATTTAAGGTCCTGGCCCTACCTTCTCCTCCTCAGGAGACAGCCAAATATTCCGGCCAGTTTACAGACAACACACTGGTGAAGTTTTGATAAGTGATGTATGTTTTAAAAAAGAAATATGTAGCAATGCATACTTGAGTGAACTGGGGACAAGATCTGCTTTTCTTTTCTATGAACACACTTATCACTATGCTTCACATATATAGACACTTTCAAGAGTTAAAGTTTACCCAGTGAAGATAGAGACGCAGAAGAAAATGTCGAGGTTTTAGAAACTGATTAGAGAGTAGCAGTGGCTTTTGAACATAAGAAAAGTAGTACACTTTTGCATTGCCAGTTTATAAACTAGGTATTTTGGCTAAGGTACTCGTATCAGTACAGCCCTCTGGGATGAACAGGATCAGAGTTATTTCTTAGGGATGTCTGCAGACTCAGGTGTTGAATTTACCTCCACTAGATTTAGGCTCAATTAACTTTTTAATATCATCTTCACAATGCTAATGTTAGATTAGTAATTTGGTTGTAAATTAAAATTCTGGAACACAAAACCATAATAAAGAAAAACAACTGTCATCACCAAATTAATGGGATCTGGTTTATAATCTGATGCTCATGTTTAAGAACTAAGCAATGGCTTTCATGTAAAAAGTGGCCTGCAATTATAATGTTATTGCTTATTTCAAACTTCCTTCTTATCTTTATCAGGTTTTGTAATTAATAAATCTGGTTGGTTTTTAGAGACAAATAATAAACAATATTTGATTTCAAAGCATTTATTGCAACCCAATTTGGAAAGTAAAACTCACATAATTTTAAACAACCCAATCCCTGAAACAATCATCCCATTGAAACTGAATATTCCCAAATCCCCTCTGTGGGCATGGGAGTTCTCCCAGCCTCAAAAGTCACTGTGTCTGTTGGAGACTTGAATCCAGTGTCTTTCCTCCCACCAAAGAAGTTCCCCAAAGAGTTGTGAGCGTTGGCATGAGCTATGTTTCAGGAGATAGGACAGTCTTTAACCTCCTGGAAAACCAAAGTTTTCTTAATTTCCCTTATCAGCACAACTCTGGTAAGTCAGTAATTTTTTTTTTTTTTGCTCTGCTTGCCTCTGGTTTTGGTTATAAATACCAGTTTGTTTTTCTCTAGTGTAATTTTGCAGATAGACTAACATTTACGATACAGTGAAGGAACTGTACTTTAAAACCTCACACAGTTCTCCTCTCAGATATTTTTTGACCAAATTGAATTTCTTTTCCACGCTTAATTTTTTTTCTGCTCTGAAACCTTTCACATAGAACTCAGACTGTGTCCCAGCCCCTTGTATTTAGAGATACAGCATCCTTTGGAGGAGCTTTAAAACAAGGCACCATACACACAAACACAAGGGCACAAACAATTTTGACTGAATAAGGAGCAGAAACCTCACTGTACAGGCTGCATGCAGCGTCAGCCCGTTTTCTGCTATATTACTGCAGTGCTTGGGGCTTGGACATATATAGTCTGTCCAGCCCAGTGAGAAAAAAACCTAGATTAAATCAGACAGATTAAATCTTTTCGAGTAGCAGCATGAAGCCCTATTTTTATATCTTTATACATATATATATATATAGGAACATGTCACCTCTGGAAAATCTGGCTCAGATTTTGTATGTCAATCAGCACACAATTATGGCTACTGGGATAACCTTTTACTCAGTTTAACTTTTAGTTACAATGAAGACATAATCTTGTTTTCAATGCAGGCCACAAAACCAGTGAAAAAGGTTCTTAACAGCTTATTCTCCTTGGAAAGTACTTGTGATTCTGCCTTAGACACTGAAACCTCATGTTACCATCTCCTAAGTCAGAACTGTTACAATCGGACCTAGAAAGCCAGAACAGTTTAAGCTTCTCTTCTAAAGTGATCTGTGCACAGAAAATGAAGGAAGCTAAATTAAAGACCCGTGGAGGGGAAAACTAAAACTGAAGATATGATGGTCCTAGTTACTAAACTGGCAGATCTGCTACTTTGAAGGAAAACATGTCAATTATCTGTGAAATCAAAGGTAAATGCAGCAAAGCCAAAATCTTACAAACACCAAATGTAGTAGTTTGCAAAAAAGGATGCTATGGCTGTAAGGCAGATGGAAATACCAGATAAACCAAATCCTTGACTTCATTAAAATGTATTGTTCTTAATACTATTATTATCATGAGTGAGAATTGAAGCTCTCTTTCAGGAAGTATTGAGCTTCATATTGTAGATTTTAATATTGTAAAACTGAAGAAAGAGATCAGAATAGGCACTTAAAAGTAATTACAACAAACAAGTAAGAAAGCAGCCATCCCTCTTTGTTCATCTAAAAATGGAGAGCCTGCTCCCTTCCTTAAACAGGGAGGACCTGCTCCAGCACCCCAAAGTGGCAATTGAAATTGGAAGGTTAAGTGCTGGCACCAGAAGCTTCACTCTGCTGTAGATTCCTGTAAGGGCTGAGAGCCTCCTCTTCATCCCTTTTAATTTAGTGGTAATTATGTGATTACTTTCAATAAGAACAGCACCAGGCAGAGAGTCCTGGAAGAAAGAATAGATTTTTTTCTAAAAAATAAATTGCTTTTCTTTCCTTATGTCACCCTGATCATCAGAAAAAAACAAAGGAAAGTGTGGGAAAGAATATAATTTTCTAACTGGCAGCTCTTCTCAAATTTGCAATAGAAATCCAAGTTGTACCAGCTCCTGAGTCTAACTGCTTATGATTTCAGGTGCTTGGCCCAAATGACTTCCTAATTGCCAGCTATTTGGAGTGGGATAGGAATCACCCACCTGAGATTCATGGCCCTGAACACAGGGCCATACTTAAGCAGCTGATTTTTGCATGATTCCTCCAGACTTCATTGCAAAAGCAACAAAATTAGGATTCCCTATTTCCTTGTCAGTCTATCAAGCCTAGGGTCACCTGCCAAGGTGAACTGGCTGAAAGAGGAAAGCCTGTGTGCAGTTTCCATCACTGTGTAGCCCAAATAC